TAAACAACGCTTAACTAAAGTGAAAGTTCTTGATCTCGCTTTTATAAGCAACCAAAGCGACGATTCTCGACCGTTGATATTCACGGATACGTCTGCTAGATGTCGCTAGTGGCTATAACCAACAAGTGCAAGTTTCAGCTTTCTACTCTTACAGATGTCGCTAGTCAAAAAAAAAACAGTATCAAGTTCAAGAAAAAACATTAGATAAACAAATAACACCTATTGTAGGTATACCACACTAAATAAGAAAAGAAAGAAATATACTACAAAGACGGCACAATTTAGGCAGTCTAATTGCTGCGATGCGATCTCTACTAGACAATGTAGAGCACAGTAACAGTTGTTTGAAATATTTAAAAAAAGCTGGTGAACAATTTTAAAGGGTATAAAATTTAAAAAAAAATACAATGAATGTTATTGCTTTCCCTGAGTTATAATATTTTTTTATAACTTTAGTAAGTTCTTGGCTACATAGATTCAAAACAGGTAACTCAATGTCAACGTTTTCACCCTTACAGAGATGGAATTGTGTAAAGCAATCGTAATCATTTGACAGTTCGTCAGTTCATAACGTACGATAACAAAGCGTTTGACAGAATAATCGTACGTTATGAACTGTCAAATGATAACGATTGCTTTACACAATTCCATCTCTGATTTACAGATTCAATGAAAGTCTTCTTAGCCAAACAATTATTTAAAAAAACATACTTATCCACCATAAATCAACAAATCATTTCACCATCACGGCCTCCCCTCATTTGTCTGCAGCATCCGATAGCACTTTACTTCCCCTCTAAACACCATGGTCAACCCCATGGGAAGTGGGAACTTGCTGATAACAATACCCCTGGTGGCAATATTGTTCATTATTGTCGTAAAAAAATATTAATAAAAAGGTTAGCGAATGGAGACCACATCTCGTCTAAATATTAGTTAGTATTGTTGAACCCTACACTGATTGCACGATGGTAAAATATTTAGGTATTAAGAAACTTTGAAATTCACATAAAACTAACATTAACTTTCATCTCTTAATGAAATTCGTACAAGCTTTTTTTGTGATTATAAATTTAAGTGCCCATGATGCCCTATTTCAATGTCTAAAAAATCTCTCTCTACACTAAAAACCATCAAAATTTTTATAAATTACCAAAAGCTTAAGTTTTAAAGGCCCATCTACCTCTTGCTTTACCAAATAAATTAGTTTGTCCATCAAAAAAATAAGTGAAGGCGTTAAAAACAAACGAATTCTATAAGCTCCGAAAATAAATAATTAAAAAGTAAAATCTTATTAATCTTCATTTAATGGGGACTTTTCGCTAAAGTTCGGACAAACTTTTTCGAGCTTTTAACAATAACCGTGAGATATCAGCTTGTAATTAATTTCACGCTTTAATCTGATTTATTACAGAGGGCTTTATTGGTGTTTAATCTAATCCCTTATAAGGCACTTTTGAATTTCAATGAACTTTGTAGAGAAAAGCAATTTTATTTTTATTTATTGATTTTATCTATTAACGCACAGCCTAAACCACTGGACGGATCGGGCTGAAATTTGACATGCAGGTAGATGTATGACGTAGGCATCCGCTAAGAAAGGATTTTACGAAATTCCACCCCTAAGGGTGTAAAACGAGATCCACGCGTACGAAGTCGCAGGCGGCCGCTAGTAAACAATAATTGTAAAATATTATGACTAAGTAAAAAAAAACTTGCTTAAAATTGTTTTAATCACTCACGTATCGCGTACCTACTATTGTAACCTCAGCTTTATGATACTGATTATTCTATATACTTGACCTATGGATAAACTGCTCGATAAAATAATTTATAAAGAAGTTTGCAATAAAAACTATTTTTTTAAAAGAATATTTACTAATCATTGCATAAATACTATGTAATAGTCCCGTTAACCCCTCGTGGCAAGCTAAATAAATAAATATCCTTGGACATTTTACACTGTGCTTCTAGTCTCAAACTAAGCAAAGCTTGTACTATGGGTACTAGACAACGGATATAAACATACTTAAATACTTTTTTTATGTAAATACATACATATTATACATAGAAAACACCCTGTCCAATACAAACAAATATTATGTTCATGCACACATAAATGTTTGTACTGTGCGGGTCGTAGATCCTGTGTTTGATAGTAGTCCGTTTCGAACCACGACACCAAACGGCTGACAATATTACGAGTGGGCTCACCACAATAGTCCAGCAGTGGAATTCGAACCAGCGTTCCTGGGATCTCGAGTGGGCTAGTCCGATACCTTCATCATTGGGCTATCGTGGCTTCAAAATTTCATTTAGACTATGCGCAGACCACCGATTTTTAGTTGGCCGACAGTTGGGCCCGATTTTAATTTGTATGAAGAATCGGCCAAATCAAATCGGTGTAATGTTTATTTATTTATTTATTTATTTATTTAATAACAATCTTAGCTCTAACATTACAGGTTACCCCAATGCGATAGAGTAGATTAATTAGTACATATTTAACAATTAAGATTGCCGCTATGGCTATAACATAAAATAAATAATGTAACCTTTGTGAATTCAGTCAAAGAACAGCTGAATATGTCAACGGTTCTAGCTACTACATTAAGTGTACGCAACGTTCTGGTAATTGGCGCCTCTTTTAGCATATTGGTCCTTGCATTCGGAATTGCGAATAGAGGAGGCTGCCGGCGCCGCCATACGTACCGGTCCGGCACACAAAGCGTCATCGACTGCAGTACGACCTGGTTGCATACCCGCCCCCGTACTAATTTGAACATATACAATGTGCGCACTTCCATACATGCCCATACTGATCAACTGCCCGACTAAACTATCGGCCGACGAAAAATCGATGGTCTGCGCATAGGCTTAGGCTGGGTTGCACCATCTTACTTTAACCTGAACAAACATCAAAAATCTGTCAAACTCCATACAAAAAACACCGGCTATTGTTTTAGTTACGGTTAAAGTTAGGTGGTGCAACTCAGCCTAAATTCTCACCCCATTGCTTTGAGGGTTGGAAGGCGTGTGTCGTTGTGATAAGGGTGAAAAGAGGGTTGATATTGTTGCCACCAATAAAATTATAATTTTGAACACACGTGCTCGTCATGTTATACGTAATGCGCTGGTGTTAGGTTCAAATTGGAATTCAATGGGACATTGCATTTTATTCTTCCAATCTGTTAAAAATAGTTGAATGAAACTCTTTTGCAATGATTAATTTTAATAAATTATTAATTTTTTAGCGTTAAGAGTCACATATTCTCTCTCATTCATTCAGTCTTTCGACGGGTTACCCAATGTCTAAACAGCTCAGGTGGAAAGAGCACGTGGCAAGCAAAAAGTCGTGGGTTCGATTCCCAAATTAGGCAATTAGAACTTTTTTCAAAATTCGAAGTTATTTTAAAATTCAAAACGTGGTTCTCACGGATTTTNTTATTTATTTATTTATTTAATAACAATCTTAGCTCTAACATTACAGGTTACCCCAATGCGATAGAGTAGATTAATTAGTACATATTTAACAATTAAGATTGCCGCTATGGCTATAACATAAAATAAATAATGTAACCTTTGTGAATTCAGTCAAAGAACAGCTGAATATGTCAACGGTTCTAGCTACTACATTAAGTGTACGCAACGTTCTGGTAATTGGCGCCTCTTTTAGCATATTGGTTCTTGCATTCGGAATTGCGAATAGAGGAGGCTGCCGGCGCCGCCATACGTACCGGTCCGGCACACAAAGCGTCATCGACTGCAGTACGACCTGGTTGCATACCCGCCCCCGTACTAATTTGAACATATACAATGTGCGCACTTCCATACATGCCCATACTGATCAACTGCCCGACTAAACTATCGGCCGACGAAAAATCGATGGTCTGCGCATAGGCTTAGGCTGGGTTGCACCATCTTACTTTAACCTGAACAAACATCAAAAATCTGTCAAACTCCATACAAAAAACACCGGCTATTGTTTTAGTTACGGTTAAAGTTAGGTGGTGCAACTCAGCCTAAATTCTCACCCCATTGCTTTGAGGGTTGGAAGGCGTGTGTCGTTGTGATAAGGGTGAAAAGAGGGTTGATATTGTTGCCACCAATAAAATTATAATTTTGAACACACGTGCTCGTCATGTTATACGTAATGCGCTGGTGTTAGGTTCAAATTGGAATTCAATGGGACATTGCATTTTATTCTTCCAATCTGTTAAAAATAGTTGAATGAAACTCTTTTGCAATGATTAATTTTAATAAATTATTAATTTTTTAGCGTTAAGAGTCACATATTCTCTCTCATTCATTCAGTCTTTCGACGGGTTACCCAATGTCTAAACAGCTCAGGTGGAAAGAGCACGTGGCAAGCAAAAAGTCGTGGGTTCGATTCCCAAATTAGGCAATTAGAACTTTTTTCAAAATTCGAAGTTATTTTAAAATTCAAAACGTGGTTCTCACGGATTTTAAGCAGTTTAAAATTAATCATACATATTTATATTATAATCTGTGACTTATCTCCCCTTCAAAGCTAAACTGGTAATGAATGCGCAAGCAAAGCCGCGGCACGCGCCTAGTCACCCCAATGAATGTATGAAACAGATTAATTTTGACCATCTTGTTTATATTTGTACACTTCTACTGATTGTTGTTTGGGAAAGAGCTACTTTTACCCTTGATGGTGTGTGAATTTAATTAATTTAATAAAACTACTTAAAAACAGTCCATTAGTGGACGTCATTTATCTGAAACTAACGAAAAAATTAGCTAAAATACATACACTCCAAAAACATAACTCTCCTTTTGACGCAGTCCAAATATTCACCTAGGTAGGTACTACGAGTAAGTACCTAATTAGTAAATTGTCAATAACTTTCAACTAACTACAAGTACGAGATTAATACGAAAACAAACTTTCGGTGGTGCAATCAATGTAATAAAAATATTTTTACATCAATATTGAGTCATATTTATTTAAAGTCACGGTACTTTTGTACCTACTGTAATTCACTTACAAAATCGACTAAAACAGTTTGGGCTTGGAGTAGGCTCCACTGAAGACTGGCACTTCAGTTTTCCTATCCACAATCATGAAGAAGAAGGGTTTGTTTGCCAAAAAGTTCTCAGCCTGGACTGAACTCCTGAAAGAGAAACCCATCTCTGTCACTGCTGCAGCCACCGTCCCTTCCTCTGTCACCTCCACATCTGCCTTTTGAATGAAGCTAGAAACATGCAGCTGGTAATCCGAAATCTCAGGGAATTTCGCCCTGTTAGCGTCAAACATATCCCTCAATCCCATATCAATTAAAAGCTCCTTCAAATTATCCAAGTCACTCGTAATCTTGAACCGCGGAATCTGAACAAACACCTTCTTCGGCCCTCCCTCCCTTTGGAACAGTCCAAATATGGAACCTAGGCTGATCTTTTTCAAGGCCCCAATCACGTTTATAAGGGGCACATCATCGTTCGGCAAGAATAGCAACATAGAAAACCTGTCGTCATGTCCATACGGCAGCTCCAAGACTGTAGCTTCGATCGCGTCAATCGTAGTAATGTTGAATTCGTTGTTAGCGAACATCAAATTCACTTCTCCGATAGGATTCCTATGAGCATCGTAGAAGGTACTCGCTTCTGTTTCTTCAGGCAAGAAAGCCTTACGCCACGAACCTTTAAAGTACAACGCATCTACCATAATCAAATACACTCCTTCCAAATCACTGGGTGATATAATTTCGTCGATAACACCATGCGTGGTTTCTTTTACGTAATTATTTATGATGCCAGCCGCCCTGTTGAAGTCGTCGAAAGATAAAGGAGTTATGTCACAAACGCCGGTTTTGGTCAGTTGATTTCTGAACCTTTCTTTGAGTATCATTGAGTGGTCCATGAAGAGATTGGAACTGTGCTCAAGGGTAGCCCCATTGCTTGAGGAGGCGATTTGCTTTGCCAGTTCCAAGTATTTGTTGTTGAAGCATTTGTGGCGGTGGTGTTTTAAGACTTGCTGGATTTGGGAGAGGGTGTCGTCTGCTGCTCCTAAGGATACTGCTGATAGGAGAGTCCAGGGTGATAGAGTTGAGGCAATAAAATGGCCTTCATTGTCCTCGGCGATTCTTCTGACTAGATCCACGGAGAACTCGTATACTGATCTTCTGAAGAGGACTTCTGCTCTCTGTAAAGTACACTGCCCGATTACTATGGGGATGACTGCACAGAGGGTGAGAATAAGCTTGTGAATTCGAGCCATCGTGACTGTTCGCGGTTGATCGAGCCCGGCTACTGGACAGTGGGATGAAAATAAAATTGTCAGGCGATATCTTGCGGAGATAACTGCGACGGGGTCACAAGGGGCTTACCAGTGGGAAGGCCTAAGATAATGTTTTCGTAAACGGGTTAGGTAATTGATTGTATGTTTAATTATGTTATTAGAAATTGGGTTTCTACATAGCGCACAACTATCCACAATCATGAAGAAGAAGGGTTTGTTTGCCAAAAAGTTCTCAGCCTGGACTGAACTCCTGAAAGAGAAACCCATCTCTGTCACTGCTGCAGCCACCGTCCCTTCCTCTGTCACCTCCACATCTGCCTTTTGAATGAAGCTAGAAACATGCAGCTGGTAATCCGAAATCTCAGGGAATCTCGCCCTGTTAGCGTCAAACATATCCCTCAATCCCATATCAATTAAAAGCTCCTTCAAATTATCCAAATCACTCGTAATCTTGAACCGCGGAATCTGAACAAACACCTTCTTCGGCCCTCCCTCCCTTTGGAACAGTCCGAATATGGAACCAAGGCTGATCTTTTTCAAGTCCCCAATCACGTTTATAAGGGGCACATCATCGTTCGGCAAGAATAGCAACATAGAAAACCTGTCGTCATGTCCATACGGCAGCTCCAAGACTGTAGCTTCGATCGCGTCAATCGTAGTAATGTTGAATTCGTTGTTAGCGAACATCAAATTCACTTCTCCGATAGGATTCCTATGAGCATCGTAGAAGGTACTCGCTTCTGTTTCTTCAGGCAAGAAAGCCTTACGCCACGAACCTTTAAAGTACAACGCATCTACCATAATCAAATACACTCCTTCCAAATCACTGGGTGATATAATTTCGTCGATAACACCATGCGTGGTTTCTTTTACGTAATTATTTATGATGCCAGCCGCCCTGTTGAAGTCGTCGAAAGATAAAGGAGTTATGTCACAAACGCCGGTTTTGGTCAGTTGATTTCTGAACCTTTCTTTGAGTATCATTGAGTGGTCCATGAAGAGATTGGAACTGTGCTCAAGGGTAGCCCCATTGCTTGAAGAGGCGATTTGCTTTGCCAGTTCCAAGTATTTGTTGTTGAAGCATTTGTGGCGGTGGTGTTTTAAGACTTGCTGGATTTGGGAGAGGGTGTCGTCTGCTGCTCCTAAGGATACTGCTGATAGGAGAGTCCAGGGTGATAGAGTTGAGGCAATAAAATGGCCTTCATTGTCCTCGGCGATTCTTCTGACTAGATCCACGGAGAACTCGTATACTGATCTTCTGAAGAGGACTTCTGCTCTCTGTAAAGTACACTGCCCGATTACTATGGGGATGACTGCACAGAGGGTGAGAATAAGCTTGTGAATTCGAGCCATCGTGACTGTTCGCGGTTGATCGAGCCCGGCTACTGGACAGTGGGATGAAAATAAAATTGTCAGGCGATATCTTGCGGAGATAACTGCGACGGGGTCACAAGGGGCTTACCAGTGGGAAGGCCTAAGATAATGTTTTCGTAAACGGGTTAGGTAATTGATTGTATGTTTAATTATGTTATTAGAAATTGGGTTTCTACATAGCGCACAATATGGTATTTTGCATTTCCTTGTTTGTACAGTCACCTACAATTCTGTTCTGTCAAGTCTTTTAACTGTTTCAGATGCTATAACTTGATCTGCTGCCGACTGTCTGTCATGTTGTACTTATGTACTTTAATAAATCCTACTAACTAATATTATAAATGCGAAAGTTTGGATATCTGGATGTCTGGATGTTTGTTACTCTTTCACGCAAAAACCACTAAACAGATTTTGATGAAACTTTACAGTATTATTGTTTATAACCGAGAATAACATATAGGCTATAATTTATGACGATCTGTGACAAACTAAATTTCACGCGGGTGAAGCCGCGGGCAAAAGCTAGTTGCAAAATATTTGTTCAAAATATAGCAAAATAGTTCTACTGGTGATGCTGTAAGACACAGTTCGGCTTATATACTGTGCTATGCATATTATAAGTTTTCAATAAATAGATTAAAATTAAGTCTGAAAAATATCTTTGCGGATTCTTCGATGACACCGCGCGTGGTAACTTGACCCTGTTAACCGAATATCTTTTTACTTACTCGGGTTTTACCCAAAAACTAATAAACATTTTACTACGTAAAGCGATGATAAGAATTTATTGAGCAAAATTGAAGGCGAATTATTTTATTAATTAAATCTATAGATAGGCATAATTTTGGCAGACTGTAATGCAAAATCTGATAGTAACATTCATCAAATAAATATTAATTTAGACTTGACAAAAATAGAAACTTATACCACAAAATATAAATGAACTAGCGGCCGCCCGCGACTTCGTACGCGTGGATCCCGTTTTACCCCCTTAGGAGTGGAGTTTCGTAAAATCCTTTCTTAGCGGATGCCTACGTCATAACATCTACCTGCATACCAAATTTCAGCCCGATCCGTCCAGTGGTTTGGGCTGTGCGTTGATAGATCACTATGTCAGTCAGTCAGTCAGTCACCTTTGAGTTATATGTATAAGGGANACATAGTTATGGTGCGTTGAAGTTGCGCACGACGTCACAACGTGCGGCATTTTTAAGCAAGCGTTGACGTCACGGGCCTCTTCTTATGAACTTTGGGGCGCTTTATCTCTTTAAATTTTCATTAGTTTGAAAAAGTGAAAAATACGTGTAGAGTATTTTTTGATAAGTTAACTGACGGACTAATTAAAACTCTTGTTTTATGACCCAGGCAACATCCCCATTTATGACAATCTGTGACAAACTAAATTTCACGCGGGTGAAGCCGCGGGCAAAAGCTAGTTGTAAAATATTTGTTCAAAATATAGCAAAATAGTTCTGCTGGTGATACTGTAAGACACATAAGTTCGGCTTATGTACTGTGTTTTGCATATTCTAAGAATTAAGTAAATAAATAGATTAAATTAAGTCTGAAAAATATCTGCCGATTCTTCGATGACACCGCGCGTGGTAACTTGACCTTGTTAACCGAATATCTTTTTACTTACTCGGGTTTTACCCAAAAACTAATAAACATTTTACTACGCAAAGCGATGATAAGAATTTATCGAGCAAAATTGAAGGCGAATTATTAATTAAATCTACAGATAGGCATAATTTTGGCAGACTGTAATGCAAAATCTGATAGTAACATTCATCAAATAAATATTAATTTAGACTTGACAAAAATAGAAACTTATACCACAAAATATAAATGAACTAGCGGCCGCCCGCGACTTCGTACGCGTGGATCCCGTTTTACCCCCTTAGGAGTGGAGTTTCGTAAAATCCTTTCTTAGCGGATGCCTACGTCATAACATCTACCTGCATACCAAATTTCAGCCCGATCCGTCCAGTGGTTTGGGCTGTGCGTTGATAGATCACTATGTCAGTCAGTCAGTCAGTCACCTTTGAGTTATATGTATATAATTAGATTGTAGCGCTGGACCATTGGAAACGAGAGGGAATAGTCCCGTGGCCCACGTATTGTGGTAGTTTTAAATTTATGCTGGGACGTTTAAAAGCGCTTTTTAAAAGCTTGTTTGCAGGAAATAAATGACTTGTTGATACATAATATCCTTATTGTAGGTACTGGAGATTGGCTTCCATACAATTAATCGGTCTAACGATTTTGAGTTATGATCTATTGTCCGTTTGTCTGATCTCAAATGGCTGACTAATATTCAGTTTAAAGGGCGCAGAAGGTCTTTGGAGTAATGTTTGTGATTATTTTAATGACATATTGTTAGGAATAATCTCTTGGCTCTCTGAGCTAAAGTTACATATCTCAGGAATTGCTGGTTTAAATTAAAAAATATGTTTGCGGTGGATAGTCCATTTATCGAGGAAGGCTATAAGCTACTCAAAATCACGCTACGATCAATAGCAGGTGAGTATCAATGAAAAATGTTGCAAAATCGGAAAAAAATATTTTCACGCGTACGAAGTCGCGGGCACAGCTTAGTTCCAGAATAAAATGATAGATTTTGGGTTAGATTTCGTAGAACTGTTTAAACTATACAATTACAACTTATTCAAATATCGAACCGAAAAAAACTGAGTTCGTTAAATGTTAAGGTTTTTCTCATTACAAATGATTCAAACAAGTAACGATAAAAATTAAAGATTTTGATTTTTCTAATCGGTACTTCCGTATTCCTAATAATAATTATATTTTATGTATAATACAAAATGGAACTCTGTCTGTCTGTTATCTTTCAACACAGGTGACACAGTTACCAAGTGACAGGAAAAAACAAAATACTTAGTTTTAATCCCGAAATAAAAAAAAATGCAATCCTAATTAAAACCTCCTCCTTTTTTTGAAGTCGGATAAAGACCGATTCACGCGGGTGAAGCCGCGGGCAATAGCTAGTTTCATAATACAATACCTAGTTAAATAAAACATCAGGTCAATCTTGTTTATGTGCATATTGAATACTGATTTCACGGTCAAGTCAACATTCAATGATTTTTTTTTGCGACAAATAAATCTTTTTTGACTTCAAAATCAGACGCATTAATCAATGAAATCCTTGAACACTTTATACCGCGCCACCTAGTCCAAGCAAAGCTACTAGAACTAAAATTACGTGCTGTAATAATAATATTATGTAGTGACATTTTCATTTTAATTGAAACTAGCTTTCCGCCCGCGGCTTCGCGCGCGTGGACTATCTATTATCTACATATTTTACAAAACCCTTTTTTTTTCCAAAATAAAATTTAGCCTATGTTACTCGTTGATAATGTAGCTTTCGAATGGTAAAAGAATTTTTAAAAACGGTCCAGTAGTTTTTGAGCCTATTCATTACAACCAAACAAAGTTTTCCTCTTTATAATATTAGTGTAGATAACATTGCTGCGCTTAATTCTAGGCCAGGAAGAGACCCAGGAATAAAAGGATAATTTTTAACTTTCATCCCAGGTTATAAATATATAATATTTAGCTCATAAGTGCCACCAGTGGTCTAAATTGAATAAAATATTTTTCATTTTGATTTTGAATTTGAATTGCATACTTACCCTGCGGGGACAGGGTAGGTTATGTAGTGCTCACCACAAAGGCATACCCATTAAAAAGACCCCGGTGCTCCGTCATTCGCCTTAAGTGGGAAGGAACTGCGGGACCTTTTTTTTTTCTTTCTTTTTCGGGGAAAAAATGCATTGAATTGCATACTTACCCTGCGGGGACAGGGTAGGTTATGTGGGACTCACCAAGTCAGAAGGACAAAGGCATACCCACTAAAAAGACCCCGGTGCTCCGTCATTCGCCTTAAGTGGGAAGGAACTGTAGGATCTACCTCAAGCTATTGTTTACCTTTACAATTTAAATATTCCAGACAAAAAATCTTTATTTTTGTTGACTAAAACGTACCTACTTACTTATTAACTTATTTCACACACAAGGAGCTTTTACATATCTCATGATTTTATCAGAGCTTCGAGACAAACATTTGGCAAGTGCTGAAAAGGTGCGCCGCAACAAACTCAGTCACCGCTATGCTATTTTAAAAATGTTTATGTTCCCATAATTTCTTTCATAAAGGCGAAGAAAGCAATACGCATTCCTGAAAGTTTGTATCGTATAAACATTTTAGCTTTATGTTTTCAGCATGCCAGGTGGATAATAGCTTGTTCTAGTTCTAGGTCATTGCCTAGGTGAACGTCCTACGAAACGTACCTAGTATTTTTTAGAAAAATTTTGAAGGACTGCAATAACCAAAATATGGACTGCAATGTCGGAGATAAATTATTTTTATTTTATTTAAAAAGATTACTCACATTGTAGAGGTACCTAAATAAAATAATAAAATAAATAAAGTAAAGGCAATTTGAATAATATGCCATACAATTTATGCAGAACAAGCCAGGTATTTGACCGCAATCCCACTGATGTTAAGTCTAGACAAAGAATTTATATTAGAATTTTAATGACGATACATAAAATACACAGGTTGTTTTCTAAGGCTGGGTTGCACCATCTTACTTTAACTTTGACAAACGTCAAAAATCTGTCAAACTCCATACAAAAAACGCCGGTTATCGTTATAGTTACGGTCAAAGTTAGGTGGTGCAACTCAGCCTAAATTTTCTAGAGAGGATTTGTGATTTTTGACACTAAATGCAAAAGATAAATAAGTTAACTTTACTATAGTAAAAATTGCAATCTAGAGAGATTAGATCTTCTTAAACCTTGATGATTATTACTTGTATCGTAAAAAGTGACCAGGCTTGTTATGAATGACATGATTTATGTCTCTGATGACAAATAGATACCACATAGATACTAAACGGCACAAAAAATAAATGAGCTCATATGATAGTCTAACAACCTAGGTACAGTAATTTTGTTGAGTTTATCGTTAATCTACATTGAACCTTGAGAAGGGAC